TGCTGCGCCCTGCGCATTCCCAGGATGGCCCGGCGGCCGACGCCACGGCGGACGCCGCGCCTGCCGCGGAAGCCAAGCCGGCGGAGGGGGAGGCTGCCGCCAAGGACGATGGCCTTGCTGCTTCCCGTCTTCCCCAGGGCACACCGGGCCTTCTTTCCTCCTCGTCGTCGTAATTTTTATCACCATCATCATCACGATCATCGTGATCACCATCATCAGCATCATCAGCATCATCATCATCGTCACCATCATTTGCATCAACATCATTATCATCATCAGCATCATCAGCATCGTCGTCGTCTCCGTCATCATTATCAGCACATCATCCATCAACAACAGCATCACCAGCAACATTGTCACCTTTGCCATCGCCATCATCATCATCATCATCATCATCATCATCATCATCGTCATCATCATCATAATCATCATCATCAGTATCATCATCAGCATCATCATGAATATCATCATGACCAGCATCATCATCAGCATCATTATCGTCATCAGCACCATCATCATCGTCATCGCCATCGTCATCGGCGGCATTATCATCATCATCAGCATCGTCATCGCCATCAGCAGCATCAGCAACACCATTATCATAGCCATCACCATCAACATCATCATCCTCACCCTCATCATCATTATCATCATCATCAATCCCAGCCTCGCTCTCATCCTCACCCTTATCCTTATCCTTATCCTCATCCTCATCCTCCCCATCACCATCCTTATCATCATCCTCATGTCCCTCATCCCTTCTCCTTCCTCCTCCCTTCCCGTCCTTCCTCATCCCTTCTCCTTCCTCCTCCCTTCCCGTCCTTCCTCATTCCTCATTCTTCCTCCTCCCTCCTTCCCCCTTCTGGTCAATCCTCAGTCGCCAGGGCAGTGGCCCTGAGGAAAAAGAGGAACCCCAGACTCTTCGGCTGCCCCCCAGGGCCAGCCCGTCGTACGGGCGGGCGGCCACGAACGGGGGGCTGGTGGCAGACGTGGGGGCATCCAGGACTTGGCAGGAAGGTGGTTCTCTCATCCTTTTTCTTGTCTCCTCCTGTTCCTCCTCCGCCTCCTCGCCCTCCTTCCCCTTGTCCTCCTCTTCCTTCTCCTCGGCCTCTTCTGGACCCTCTGGAGCCTCTGACCGCTCTCTTCGGCCTCCTCCATCTCCTCCTCCTCCTCCTCCTCCTCCTCCTCCTCCTCCTGAACATCTACTAGCGTCGCCGTTCTGGTCCGAAGTTTTGCTCCTGCACTCACATATCCAGCCCCGTACTCTCATTCCCAACCATCCTGTGGCGTTGGGTCCTCGTTTAAAAGAGACAGCGCCCTGCGTTCCTCACTCCTGGCCCTCCTCCCTCATCCCATCCCTGCCCCTGCCCTCCGTACGCCGTTCGTTATACCTCTCACACGTTCCGTTGCCCCATAGGGAGCTCCATTGAGGGCCTCCGTGGTGAGTTTGCATGCGTCCGCCCGACCCACTTCGGCACACCCCTCACACGATTCGTGGTCCCATAGGGAGCTCCACCGAGTGCCTCCGTGGCGAGTTCGCATGCGTTCACCCGACCCATTTCGGCACACCCTTCACACGTTCCGCGGCCCCACAGGGACCTGCACCGTGTGCCTCCGTGGTGAGTCTGCATGCGTCCGCCCGGCCCACTTTGGCACACCACTCGCACGCTTCGTGGCCCCATGGTGGATTACACCGAGTGCCTCCGTGGTGAGTTCGCACGCGTCCGCCTGACCCATGTTGGCATACCTCTCACACGCTTCGCGGCCCCATAGGGAACTCCACCGAGTTCCTCCGTGGTGGCTTCGGATGTGCCCGCCCGACCCGTTACGGCACACTTCTGACGCGTTCCGTGGCCCCTTTGATGGAGTTCCATCGAAGGCGTCCGTGGTGAGTTCGTATGCGTCCGCCCGACCAAATTCTGTACACTCCTCACAAGCTTCGTGACCGCATAGGGAGCTCCACCGGGTGCCCCCTTGGTGAGTTCACATGCCTGCGCCCGACACATTAAGGCAAACCCCTCACACGTTCTGAGGCCCTACAAGGAGCCCCACCGAGAGCCTCCGTGGTGAAGTCGCACGCGCCCGCCCAACCCATTTAGCCACGCCCCTCGCACGCTCCAGTGCCCCATGGGGAGCTCCGCCCAGGGCCCCCGTTCGCATGCGTCCGCCCGACCCACTTGGGCACAACCCTCACACGATTCGTGGCGCCAGGGGCATCCACCGAGTCCCCCCGTGGTGAGTTCGCATGCGCCCGCCCGACTCATGTCGGCACACCCCTCGCCCACAGCGTGGCCCCATAATGGCGCGGGCCAGGCTTGCGCACCTTTCCTGTCGTCGCTCCCCCCGCTGCCCGGATTCCATTCGGCAGCTGCCGGTCGTTTTGTGAGTGCTCTCGGATCTGTGCTCCCAGTTTGTCAGGCCCCACAGAACGGGTGATCGAGCTGATGAGTCGACCCTCCCGCTCCGCTCCCCGCAACCGCCGCCTGCGTCGCGCTCGTCCTTCTTGCGGCGCGTTGCCTACGAGAGCGGAGGCTGTGCCGCGCGCAATATGGACTGTGGGTGCCCCCCTGCGTCGCACCTCCCGTGGCGGTATTCGCAGCTGCGCCTGGTTGGGTCTTTCGCCAGGCTAATGTTATTACCCAGCTGCTGGCTAGCAGCATGACTCTCACGCTTGCCAGTCGTCCGTGAAATGTTGTGTGTTCGGCCTCACCTTGGGCTGGAGGACATCGCGACAGCGGCCCCGAACTGTGGAATGATCGGGTTGCAGGGAACGTGCACGAAGGCTTACATGGATGAGGATTACAGGTTGTCCAGGGTGATGGACAGGACACCTATCATTGCTGGATGGAGACATGCAAAGTTCAGCAACAATAGCGCGGGTTGCGCGTTCCTCCTCCCTCGCAGATGGCTCCATACATATTCCGTAGAGAAGGATGGACACACCTCAATAGCTGATGCGGGGAAAGGGGACGCGAGTGTATTTCCGATCCGGGGAGTTCCACTTGAGTGTATGACATTCCATTGGCCACCGAAACCACTCGCACCAAATTATCCATCATGTTGTGAGAAGCTGTTTCGATGAGCGTTTCAATAGGTTCGCAAGTCCACCCATTCGGCCATCGTGTTTGTGATAGTGGACGTCAAAAATGGGATTGGATCGAGCAGACAAGAAGGTCAGAGGCTCAATGTTGGAGAATCCGACATTGAACTGGGAGTTACACAAAAACGACATCCATGGGAGCAGTCGCGAGAAGTAGAGAGACGATGGAGGAACATTTCTTTTGTTTTCGTCAAAATGGCGGGACACAGTGTCATCACCATGCTACAACGCGAACGGCAGCTGCAGCCTGATCGACCACATTTCTGTGCCGTTGTTGGCTTCTTCCCGCAAAAGGCCACTCAGGTTTGTTAGAACATGGGGCTCACACTGCAACCTACACATATATGGACAGTTTTCACAACGTTATGCAGAGCCCTGGGTTGAGAGTGCCGCACTTCCCGAATGCCAGCCCGTGCTTTCCGCTGGCATCTGTGCTCAAGTGCATTGAGTGAGGCCGCTCGATGAGTTTCGGCGGGTGGCTTGCATAGGAGGCTCTGCACACCGTGTCACAGGGGACGCTCATTTGGACGGCGCGGGCAGAGTGCCCGCCGTGCACCTGCAAGCCCTCGCTGGTGTGCGGCGCGGGCCAGGAGGCCCGGCGGCTGGATTGCCCGGCGCCGGCGGGGGCCTGGCCGTTGTCGGCCGTGCTGCTGGCCCTGGTCTGTGGACTCGGGGCAGGCGCGGCCTTGGGGCGGCTGCTCGTGCCGCCAGCGCCGACCCAGACGGCTAGCCGATTCGAGAGGCTCGAGGAGGCCCGTGCACAAGTCGCCCTTGTGAGGGCGCAGCTGCAGAGCCAGTGACTCGATGTCCGCGGCGGCCGCGGCCGCCGCAGGGCATCCCTTCGCCACCCTCGGGCTTGACGAGGGCGACTTCATGCTGATCAGGTACCAGGTGGGAGGAGCGCGAATCTGGCACGAGCGCCTCCTCCTGGCTTTCAAGGCCACTCCCCCCTTTGGCACGGGCATCTTGACGCCCGACGATCACGGTTACGACGAGGCCATCACCACCGGCATCATTGACGTCGCGGACTTGTGTGTCCCCGCGGGCGGAGCGGCGGGGGGTGCCTCAGCAGCGACAGGTGGCGATCAGGTGCATTGCTTTCGGGCGTTGCCCCTGCCTACCGCCGTGGCGGACGCCGCCAGCTCCACCCGAGCGTCGCTTGGCCTGGCCCTAGGCCCCCCCGTGGCCCTGAACACCGCCGGTCGCGTGATCGCCGCCGTCGTCGCGGCTTCGGCCGCTCCCATCGGAGGGGGCGGTGCTGGCGGCCCAGCGGCTGGAGGCCTGGCGGGGCTCGCGGCGGCGCTCGGAGGAGGGGCCCTTCGGGCCGGAGAAGCACCTCCTGGTGGAGGTGCCGCCGGCGCCTTGGTGCCCGCCGCTGCGCCCGCGGCGGCCTTGCCTGGAGGCGCCCTTGCGCCGATGGTCGGGACACCAGCGGCTGGTGCCCTTCAGGCAGCGGTCCCTGCTGCCGGCGCTGCCGCAGCCGCCGCCCCGCTGGCCACCTTGGCTGGGGCGCCCGGCGCTCCGTGCGTGGGCGCGGGCGGCCCAGCGAACGCTCTCGCAGCGGCCGCGGCAGCCCCAGGTGGGGACGCGAGGATGCAGGTAGTCACCCTGGACCCACAGGGCGTTCACTACATCGACTTCAGGGCTGCGGTGCTGCGCTTGCACGAGCTGCCGTGGGCCGACTGGCCCCTCAAGGGCCCTCGTACTCGGCTGTGGGTGCTGAATTACATAGGCCGCAATGGAGGCACGCCCCTCGGGCGACATCTGAAGTGGAAGGCCGAGGCGTACCTCGACGAGGAGGTCCCCGGCGTGGACGTGCATTTCTTGTGCTGCAGGTTGCTCGAGTACGGCGTGGTGTACGATCACGCTGCTGCGACGAACCTGGCCTCCATGGAACTGGTCGGCCGTTCGCTGCAGACCCAGGAGCTCTACCGTGACAGGTTTGCACCGTCCTCCGAGCACGACAATGACGCTGCCTTGTTGTCCGGCGTCCAGGACGCTGGCGGCAGCATCTGCATGGCCCCTGCGCTGCGCGACTGGCTGGCGGCCGAGAAGTCTCGTGAGGCGGCCATCGCCAATGAAAGGCGTAAGGCTCGGGAGGGGCGTGCGCTGGCTGCTGGGACTGGCGCTGCGGGATCGGGCAGCGCCGACGGGCGCGGCGGCCGCGGCCGCGGCGGCCGAGGCCGCGGGCGTCGAGGCCGTGGGGGCGGCGGAACCCCCAGCGGCGATGCCTGAGGCGATCCAGGGGTGGGCATATGGGCCAGCCTCTCCCTGGGACAGCAGTGTGGCTCTGACCGCAGGCCCCCGGCCGCTTGGGACAGGTCGCCAGCGCGACGTCTTCCCGCTGCCGGTCTCGTTGGCTGCAGCTCCACGCGGGGTGGGGCCTGTCAGCCGCCGCTCAGCTCGGCGCCGCGGTCTTCGTGCCCATCGTGAAGATCGCGTGCGGGCCGCCACCAATGCGCTGAATTCGCTCTATGGCTTCGAGTCCTCGCCTACTGCTCCGGCGCGCGAAGGGCAGCGCCAAGCCATCATGCACATCGAGAGCAGCATCGAGGAGTTGGGCGCACCGCCGCCCGAGTTCACCGACATTCGTGCTGCTCAAGACGGAGCCCTCCGAGAGCTCCTCTCCTGCGCCAACCTGTGCGGGTCTGGCGCCGCCTCGCCATCTCCTTACGTCCGCGACCGTGTCGCATGGCCCGCTGGTAGTGCTGCGCCCGTCGACTTGATCGACCTTGTGCAGCCTCAGGACAGGGCGTGGCTGGAGGGATGGCGGAGCCATATGCTCCGAGATCAGCGCGCCGCCGAGGCCCTGGTGCAGTCGGCCTGCCCGCGGGGGCCCTACTGCGACCCGGGCCTGGTTCGTGACGCAAGTATCTACGGCCAGTTTTTGATACAGATGTACCAGAGGCAGATGGTCACCTTTGCGGCAGACAACGGCATGCCGCACTCCGTCGGCCTCTTTTTCGTCCCGAAGAAGTCGGGGGCCCTCCGCATCATCTTCGACACGGGCCGCCAACTGTAAGTTTTTGGATTCACCCGCCACCGGGCTTCCTTCGGCCGCTTCGTTCAGCTCGATCGAGGCCCCCGCTGATGGCATGTTCATCTCAACGTGCGACCTGGAGTGCGCATTATACCACATGCGGCTGCCTTGCGGGATGGAGTCGACGTTTACCTTACCTTCGATCTCGGTGTCCACGCTACAGGAGATGGGCTTAATCGACCTGGATTTCGACCCGTCCACGCGCGTGACGCCCATGGTGACCGTCCTCCCGATGGGTTTCTCGTGGGCCCTGCGCTTCTGTCAGTCTGCAGCGCGCGCAGTCCTAGCTGCGAGCGGCCATGAGAGGGCCATGACTGCCCTGGACGGCCAGCCGGGCGTGGTGGTCACTGATCCCGCGTCTGTTGGCGTCGGCGCCTACGTCGACAACATCCTGGCCCTCGGCGCTGACAAGAGCGCGGTCGACCGGGTCATGGGACAGCTCGTGGCCGCCTTTCGCGCCCGAGGGCTGCCAGCGCACGAGATCGAGCCCGCCGCCCAGGACGCGGAGTTCTTGGGCCTCAGCCTGAAGCACGGGAGGTTCCGACGCATCAAGCCGCGCAACATCTGGCGGCTGCGCGCAGCGATCTCAGGGCTCCTTCGTCGGGGCTGGTGCAGCGGCCACATGGTGCGAGCAGTCTTGGGACACGTTACATGGTCATCTATGATTCGCCGCGAAGCCCTCGCTGTGCTCCACAGCGCCGACAGTTTCGAGGCGGCGCACGGCGAGAGACAGGGCATAATATGGGCTTCAGCGGCAAAAGAGCTGGTCACCATTCGGGATTTGCTGCCCCTCCTGTCCTGCGACCTCGCCTCCGGCTGGCATCGCGCGATGACTGCCGGCGATGCTTCGCCTTTCGGGCTCGGGGTTATGCGGCGCCGCGCACCTCGCGCCGCCTGTGCCGCCATGGGCCGTTGCTCAGAGAGGTGGAGGTTCAAAGTTGAGGGCGGGCACCAGGCGCGCATTCGTTCATTGCGAGAGGGCGGCCTAGACCAGCCCCGACCTGTGTCAGAAAATGTTGACATGGCTAACGTCCACTCTACCTCGGAGCGCTTGAAGCCAGATGTCCAACATGACAGCCCTGCAAGCCTCCATGCATCATCGCCATTTTCGGGTACTTTCGACGCCAGTCGTGATCCACAAGGCCAGCACGGGGACCCATGCGGGGAGCTCATGGGCCAGCACGTGGACCCCTGCGAGGAGCTCATGGGCCAGCACGAGGACCCCTGCGACTCCATGGGCCAGCACGGGGACCCTTACGAGGAGCTCATGGGATTCAACGGGGTGCTCGCTCAGCCTCCCAGTGGCACTACGCGGGCTCATCCTGATGCAGTCTTGGGCGACCCCTGGGAGATGGGCGAGGTCCCTGGGCATATTACTCGGGAGGATGCTTGGAGGGGGAGGCTCTGGTCACATCATATCGGCATCAGCTCCGCAGTTTGGGCGCTCATGGGGCACGCTTGGTTGCGCTCGTCGACGACCCCCCCCTGGCCCTCGCCTGCGCGAAGGGGGGGGCTCGGTCGCAATAGTTGAGGTCGCGCTTGAATCAGCTGTGTGCGTTGTCGCTCGCCACGGGCTCGAGGCTCTTTGCGCGCTCGATCGCCTCAGAGCGCAACCCAGCTGATGCCCTCAGCCGAGGGAAGCTCGGCTGGTTCAGTGGCCATCGTCAGCTCAGTCATGCGAGGACTCGCTATGGGCGCCGTGGTGCTCGTGCTGCTGTTCGCGCGCCTGCGCGAGGCGCGGGCCATGCCGCGACGGGCGGGGCCTGCGCCCTCAGCCCGGACGCGTCACCGCGTGACGCTGGCGTCGGCAGCGGCGCGCGGGCGGACGCTGGTGGGCTCCATGACGCTCCTGGAACAGATGGCGGTGCGGCCGACCACGGAGGCCCTCTATCGCCAGTTTCTCAGGCACGCCGCTGTGGAGCTTTTCCCTCACGGAGCTGAACAGGATGTTCGCGCTGGCAGCGGGGGTCCACCCAGACGTCTACGCGTTCGGCGACCTGGTCACCCAGCACTGTCGCCTGCTGGTCGAGAAGGGGCACCTCGGCGCCGGGCTGCATCAGCTCATCCCTGCCGGCCTGGCGCCGATCGTTCTGTCCGAGCCAGACAGCCACAGCAAGCCCAGGCGGGTGAGGCGGCGCCTTGCCGGCCGCGCCTGAGCGCAGCCAGCCCTGCCGGCAGCGCCGCTGGCGCCTGCGTCGAGCAGACCCAGCCGCCGCAGCGGGGCTCGGAGCGTGCCGATCACTTGCGGCGACGCTTCAGAGCTGCTGTCAGTCGCGGCCCCCTGTGCCGGCGGCGCGTCGCGCTGGAACTCTTCAGCGGCAGCGGGCATTTCGCTGCTGCCGCCCGTCGCCTGGGCCTCTCGGCGCTCGGCTTGGACGTTCGGCAGTCGCCTTTGGAAGACCTCCTCTGCCGCGACGTCGAGCAGGTAGTGACCGGCTGGCTCCGCAGCCGCGCAGTCGCGGCAGTTTCTTCGGAACGCCGTGCACGACGTGGTCGCGGGCTCTCCGGAAGCCGCTCAGGACTCGCTCCCAGGCTATGGGCATCAGCGGCCTCTCAAGTTCTGAGGCCACGAGGCTGGCCGCAGGCAGCGCTTCTTTTTACTTCACATGCCGCATCATCCGTTTGTGCTGCGCGCTTGACATACCAGTGCTGCTTGAAAATCCCGCCAGCTCTTTAATCTGGCATGCCGCGCCTCTTGCGTTCCTCATTATCTCAAAGAACGCCCGTGTATGCGATTTTTGACCAATGTCAATTCGGGACCTCCTGGCAGAAACGCACCAGGATCGCGGCTTGGCAGACAGGACCGCTCTTCGGTCTTGTTCGGCATTGCGAAGGCCGCAGGGGGATTTGCTCTCGCACTGGCAACAGACATACAATTCTCACAGGCCAGGCCCCTGAGGGCTGTAAATACACTGCATTGGCTGCCGCCTACCCCGCTAAACTGTGCACGGCGTTGGCTAGAATTGTCAGAGACGCTGTATTGCAGAGGCCTAGGCAGGCCATGGCTGACTTGATATGCAAGTCGCCTTCTTAAATACATCGAGCTGCCTTTTGAACTCTTCGGCCCTGTCGCTACCGCTCCCTGGCCAGTACTTCCTTATGGGGTTTGGGACCTCATCTGTATGTGCCTCGCCTGCAACATGTTTCGGTGGTCAATGCCTGTGCCTCTCGTCTCCGGCAGTGTAGCCTGCCGGCGCCTGGCTCGTGCCTCGCACACATGATGAAGAAGAAGCGAGTTGCCCATCGTATGTCACGTCTTCTGCTGTCATCATTTCTGTTCTGGCACTCGTCGAATCGGGGCGGGCTGGACATTTTTCGCAGCGTTATGCAGAGCCCTGGGTTGAGAGTGCCGCACTTCCCGAATGCCAGCCCGCGCTTTCCGCTGGCATCTGTGCTCAAGGGCACCCACCCGCATTCCGCCCTCACTTGAATCTTTTGATTTCGTCCTTCTTCTTTGGGGCCTCATCTGTATGTGCCTCGCCTGCTACGCGTTTCGGTGGTCAATGCCTGAACCTCTCGTCTCCGGCAGTGCATCCTGCCGGCGCCTGGCTCGTGCTTCACACATATGATGAAGAAGAAGCGAGTTGCCCATCGTCTGTCACGTTTTTTGCTGTCATCATTTCTGTTATGGCACTCGTCGAATCGGGGCGGGCTATATATATATATATGTATATATATATACGGGTACCAGAAGACCGTGATCATCTTTTTACACATGCCAGAACCGTACTTGACTCGGTTGGTGATGTGTTGGCGTCTAGAATGGAATGGAGAATGCCAGGTGGGCAAGCATATCGTTAGATAGTGGGATAAGGATCGACACGTGCAGGTGGACAATGGTTCCAATGCGACATGTGAGTTTGCGCAGGCAGTTTCGCGCAGACTGGGGCAGTGAAGCGGGAGCTCCACGGGGCGAGCGCGTCACAGCATTTGAGGTAGTCGGAATTATGAACAGGGAAAGGGGGGCAATTGTTTAAGGGAGCAGCGGCATCACCATTTCAGGGCTAAGCAGGGATGGTCAACATGATGGTTCAACGACGCGAATTGCGCGAACGATTCCTTGAGCGCCCTGTTTTGAGCTGGACGTGTTGGAGGATATGGCAAATTATGTGCTGCGTCTCGCCAGAGGAATTTCGAGGGAGACGTTGGGCTCTGGTCGAGGGAAACTACGAGGCCAGGGGAGCCAGCACTCTGGGGTCGTTCACATATTTGGTTTGCGATTTGTCGGAGGACGTCCAGGAAACAACAAGCGAGATTGTTCCAGGCAGTTGGGCGCATTGCCCATGAAAAAAGAGTGGATCGCTCCGTGGCCCAGAACTTGCAAGGGGGGAAGAAGGATGAAGACTGCTCCGTTGGAGTGGGACGAGTTGGGTCGAGAACCCCCGCCCCTCCACCGCTTTTTTTGGGGGTCAGAACAAAGTAGAGTACAGTGGTCGCATCGGGAAGCCATCGGTGATGCGGCGCCGTTTTTTTTTCTTTGCGCGAACGTTCGTCTTTTAGTGTGTGTGTGTATATGTATGTATACATATATATATATATATGTATGTATATATATATATGTATATATATATATATATATATATATATATATATATCGGAGTCGGCCCCGGGGCGGGGGTGGGGTGTTGCCACTGGTTGACATGGCCGCCCATGGCGTCTTGTGGGGTCCACGAACCCGCCCAAGAAAACCCAAGAGGCCCCAATGACAACCCAAGAGGCCCACAAGACAGCCTCAGCGAGGCCCAACAGGGCCCCAAAACGCCAAACAGCGCCCGAAGAAGGCCCGAAATGGCTTGAAGCGGGCCCCAAGAGGGCCTTCAAGAGGCACAAATCGGCCCATTCCTTCCGTCAAATTTACATTTTCAGCATACTCGCTTGCTTTGTCTTCACAATGCCCCAGACGCCCCCCGAGGAGCCCCTAAGACAGCCCAAGACAGACCCAAGAGGGCCCAAAACGGCCCAAAAGGGTCGTTTTGTGGGGCTCACGGAACCCCACAAGACGGCCCAAGAGGCCCTGGGGGCGTCTCTTCTTGTTGCGTCGTGGGACCTGGGTGGTGGGGGACCGCTCGGGGCGGATGCTTGTCGACGCGCTAGGTCCGGCTCGAGTCAGAAAGAAATCGGGGGCGAGCGCGTTGGAAGCTGTAAATCGGGCGTGGCCCCCATACAGGAGGAATATTCAAAAGCTGCAAACAATAGTATGGGGACATTTTTTAATCTTGGATTATCCTACGTTTTAGCAACTAGGGTCTAGTTTCCTACAAAATCCGCCTGTAGGAGGACATGCCCGACGTAATGGAAGCTGGCGTGTTCAGATAAATTTTAAGAGTCGGCAAAGCGAGCTCTTCGCCAGCTTGAGGCCGCATAGTCCTGGGCACGCGCCGCAGAAGAGTGCGCTGCCAGGACCCGGTGCGAGGAGAGTTGTGCGTGGGCTGGGCCCCATGGGCAACGTTTTTTTTGTTGTTTGTGTCTTTTTTTTATAAGGGTGTTATTATTATTATCATCATTTGTTATTATTATTATTATTATTGTTTTTATTATTATTATTATTATTATTATTATCTTAGTGTCATGAAATAAGGTGGCCACCGTGCGCCCATTCTGAGATGGCCCGCGGTTGCCCGCGCAGGAGAATTAAGAGGATGCCCGCGCAGTTGGTTTCTGCGCGTCATGGCGTTGAACGAAAGCAGACCTCTAGTGGATCGGCTCTCTCAAAAATGTGAGCGCATCCCCGAAGTGGGCGGCGCTCGACGAGACCGCCCATGAGATGGCGATGGGATCCGAGCTATTTGTTTTGCCATCGCAGATACAGATTAGCGCGCGCTGCCATTCCTGCCGAAGGCGCGGACTGGTGAGTGCGCGCGGTTTGTGGCACTCCCCCTGGGGGCTCTTGCGCCGCCGTGTCGTCTGCGAACGTTGTTCGGCCCCCGACGGGCCGCTGGGTCAAAACATGTCGCGGGGGTGGTCCCCGGGGGCAATTGCTTGACGCTGCAGGCGTTCTAGTCAGCCCACCCAGCGATTCTTTCGGGCTGACGAAGTTTGCGCATGACCTTTAGAAGATGTTCACTGAACCTTGTGTTGAACTCGCGCGCAATGGTCTCCACAGCGACCCGAACAACAACAGCGGGACATGTTTCAGCCCCGCCATCTTCGGACATGACAGTACGAATTTGCTTCGAAGTCTGAAGATGGGATGGACTGAGTCTGTCAGATATCCCGAACACGGACTGACACCAATCCTGTCTTTCCAGGTCGAGTTCGAGAAAAAGGGGCCAGGCCGCCAAGGCTTCGCATTTCCAGATGGGCAGGTTTCGGCAAAGGCCGTTCGTACAAATTCGCTGTCAGCGATGCGTGCTTCCGTGC